GCAAGGTCCAAGCCGAAGGTCAAAGCCTGCAGGTTTGCTCTGCAAGGCGACGGCTTCCAAGCAGCCTGTTCCTGAGGTCACACCGGCGCGCGACAGCACGCCCAAATGCAACTTCCAAAATTATCACTGAAATACGGGCAGCTCACGGCACTGAGAAGGGCGAGGTTAACACGAATGAAAGATTGGATCCATGTGTGCATATCAATCGCCCCAGCAGCCGAAAATAGAAAAGCATGGAGACATCTAATAAATGTAAAATAGGGGATGCACTCATCACCGACATCCCACCCACCGCGTCGCCCAACTGCATGACAAACGCCGCAAGGTCCAAGCCGAAGGTCAAAGCCTGCAGGTTCGCTCAGCAAGGCGACGGCTTCCAAGCAGCTGTTCCTGAGGTCACACCGGCGCGCGACAGCACGCTCGAATGCAACTTCCAAAATATCACCCGAAATGCGGACAGTGCACGGCACTGAGAAGGCCGAGGTTAAACACAAATGAAAGTTTGGATCCATGTGTGCATATCAATCGTCCCAGCAGCCGAACGCAGAAAGCATGTGGACATCTGAACCTAAATAAGGGATGCACTGAAGGCATCGCCAACACGCCCACCCCAGGAGCCCCTAGTAGCGTCCTTGCCCCTATAGTAGTAAGGCAGGAAGTAGCATCCTTGCTCCTAGTAGTAAGGCCAGGACCCCCTAGTAGCGTCCTTGCTCCTAGTAGTCAGGCCAGGAGCCCCTAGTAGCATCCTTGCTCCTAGTAATAAGGCAGAGCCCCTAGTAGCATCCTTGCTCCTAGTAGTAAGGCCAGGAGCCCCTAGTAGCGTCCTCGCTCCTAGCGATAAGGCCAGGAGCCCCTTGCTCCTAGTAGCAAGGCCAGGAGCCCGCGTCACCCGACAGGCCGAGCGGCCACGTGGCCGGTTGATACGACCACGGGCGAAGAGCTCGAAGTCGAAGAAGGCACCTGCATACCGACGAGCGAGCGACCGCGGTAGTAAGGCCAGGAGCGCCGAGTAGCGTCCTCGTTCCTAGTCATGTGCCTAGTGGCGTCCTTGCTCCTAGTAGTAAGGCCAGGAGCCCCTAGTAGCGTCCTTGCTCCTAGTAACTAGTAATAAGACCAGAGTAAGGCCAGGAGCCCCTACTAGCGTCCTTGCTCCTAGTATAAGGCCAGGAGCCCGCGTCACCCAACAGGCCGAGCGGCCACCTGGGCTGGTTGACACGACCACGGATGAAGAGCTTGAAGTCGAAGAAGGCACCTGCAAACCGACGAGCGCGCGACGCAGTAGTAAGCCCAGGAGCGCCGAGTAGCGTCCTCGCTCCTCGCAATGTGGCCAGGAGCCCCTAAGAAGGCCAGTAGCAAGACCAGGAGTCCTTGCTCCTAGTAACAAGGCCAGGAGCCCCCTACTAGCGTCCTGAAAGTAAGGCCAAGAGTCCCTAGTAGCGTCCTTGCTCCTAGTAATAAGGCCAGGAGCCCCTAGTAGCGTCCGTGCTCCTAGTAGTAAGGCCAGGAGCCCGCGTCACCCCACAGGCCGAGCGGCCACCTGACCGCGGATGAAGAGCTCGAAGTCGAAGAAGGCGCCGCGCATCAGCCGCTGGCGCATCAGCCACCGAATGACATGGAGCGGCGAAACCAACAATTGAAAAGCGCTACATCCACAACGCAACATAACGTTGCCATTAGCAACCGAAGCAAACGTTGAGCAAGGTCATTTGCTCGAAAAGTGTAACAAAACAGAATGTTGAGAAGGGTCCTTGAAAGCACTAGGAGCAACAAAGTCCACAGTCTTGGCAGGGTCAGATTGTGGTTTTGCTATCATCTTGTGGTCTGCTTGTCTTTAATTTCTGTGATACCGTTTTTCCTTTCAAAGTTGTTCCGCTTCCTGGCTGCAATCCAGAGCAAGAATGACCGAAGGGTTTCCGAAAACTGCTTCTGGAGGTGGTCCAAAACATAAACCCCGGTAACAAGGCAAGGGCAACCGCGCGCAACCAAACAATTTGCGTCACATGTTTCTTTATTGGGCCAACCCTGTAGTTGACGCATCATATTACACGGTAATAGTATGCCAACATCAAACATCTCACTATCTCTTTGAGGAGCTCATATTATCTGCCTCAGCTGCTGCAGGGTACTGCGGGCACGACAAACCTGGACTAGCAAGCCTAGACAGAGAGAGAGGGAGAGATGTGAGGGACTCTAGCCCAGCATACGCCAGCTTTTGCGAGCACGGCCAGTTCGGCAAGGTTGCTCTTACAGCCCTCGCTCAGCAGTTGTCAGCTTAGCTGTAAACAAAAAGCTAGCACGTGGGTGACAGGTGACATATTTATCGCTTGCGCCGGCTTCTGCGAGCACGGCCACTTCAGCAAGGTTGCTCTGACAGCCCCCGCTCAGCAGTTGTCAGCTTAGCTGTCAACAAAAGCTAGCACATGGGCGCAAGTCTCTCTTTCCCCAAACACTGCCAATGTGCCCTGCAATATAGCTATGTGGACATCTGCTCAGACTGCTCAGATTGCACTCGACGCGCCAGCAGCCAGGTGAGATCAGCAGAGCTCAACTTGCCAGCGCGCCGCATGAGTCTCTGTCGCTTTTTCTCCTGCATGTGCGCCAGAATGAGTCGCGCCGCGCGCAAGTCGGAAGCACAAGCAACACAATACTGCATCAAATTTCAACAATACATGTGGATCATGCGCCGGTCGCCTCATTGCGAACCTCACGGTTCGCTTGCTGGAGCTGCCGCTTCAGGTTCTGCCGCTGTGTTTTGAGCGAAACCAGCCGATCGGCGGCTGGGTGCCTCACGACTTAAATTCATCAGGAAGTGGTTGGAGGTCTGAACCAGTCTGGTGCCAAGTATAGCCTTTCCAAAAATGATAAACATTAATGTCCAGATGCGGCCCAAACAAAATCACGTTGCTTGTGGGCGCTCCCAAACATGATCAGCGTACTATGTGCGTGCCGGCGGTGCGAACCAACAGATATATGATGGCGGGGCGCCTCGCAGCCGGAGCTGCTGCTGCTGTTGCTTCTTCATCAGCGGCTGCGTCAGACATGGCAGTCGGGAGTGTCTATATAATATATAAATATTGGGGACGAGTGCTTGAGCAACATGTACTGCCCCACGGACGGGCACCGACGGCGCCCGACGGCGCGAATTTCCAAACCGAAAAATGGACCGTCTTCCAAGTTCAGCAGTTGCACCCCTCGAAGTATATATATATATAGCTATGGATCCACATACCTTCTCAGAAGGTGACTGGAGACTATTTATGTAGGCTTGGAGGGCCCAAGTACCTTCTGAGAAGGTATGTGGATCCCTAGGGAGCTATACCTATCCTTATTGTTGTGAAACTTGGGACAATTCCTTTCGAGTGGGGGAAATGAGGCAGTGGATGGAAGCCATATCAGCACCATGCACGGCACTGGCAAACGTATAGACTGGATCTCCAAGACGATGCATCGTAGAAGGGTTCTTCAGTCTCAGTCAATTCCATATATCTTTTGCAACTGGCACACCTGCGCCAAGCGCACCAGCCCAGCAACTTCGCTCTTCGATTCGATTCTTTTTTCGATTCTTCACGGTCCCAAACTGCCGATCGACTCGTGTTCGGTTGATCTTACGGTGATTTCGTGACACGACGAAAGCGACGTTCGCGTCCACGTCGTCCTCTCCCCATGACTCCACGCGTCCGTTCGCGTCCGTTTCCTCCACGTCTCCACGTCCGGCCCAGTCGGTTCACGCGTCCAGGACGCGCTGAAGAGGAAGTTTCGTCTCTGGGGCGGAAAGGAGAAGCCGACCTTTGGCGACGGGCGCCGGGGTGGCATCCCCGCACTGGTCGGGGGGCCAACTGACTGGCGGGGGGGCGGGTCCCGGTGTGATGGTGTCTTGACTGCCACTGCTGCTAAGACTGTGGTTCGTCCATTTTCGCAGAAATCCATCACCAACTCCATCCAATTGCAACGTTCTTGCAATCTTCAGAGACACACAACAGAATCTGTTTTCACAGAATCTGCATGATGTCCAGTCGAGATTGAATGGACACTTCATAAAGCATAAAGATGCATAAAGCATGATTGCCACCTACCGGTCACCTTCAGATTCTACCTCCTTTGTATCAGCTCGGAGCCCCCTCCTCTCAAGCTTGCTCCAAATGGATCGACTCAGCAGGTGGTGATCAATCCGGAAGGAGAGGAGGTGAAATACTTGGATGCCGAGTCGAAGGGTGCCGCAGCATTGGAAGAGTGGTGAACCAACGGCGAACAAAATGCTGGCTCATAAGAAGCTCGCAAAAACTCGATCGGTTTGGAGCTTGGAGGTGAAAAAAAGCACGTCTGGGACCAGGGGGAGCATTTGTTCGGGTGCACAGTTGATTTCAGTTGATTTCATTTGGAGGTGCTAAATGCATCCGACATGTCCCAGAAATTCTGACCTCACGCCGCTTGCGTGCCGCTTACCTCACTGGGCCGCCGGCGACGAACTGCTCAGCGCCAGGAGGCGACGGCTGTTTTGGGCCGCCCGAACGATGCACTGCTCCATGGTGGGCTGTGCCTAGCCTTGGCGGCCTCGGGATCGTTTGGAGAAGCCTTGAGGCTCGGGAGAGAAGTGGGAGGTGCTTCACTTCGTGAACAGGTTGAACCAGCCGAAGTGGCAAGCAATGGGTGGATGGTGGATGGTTGTTCCTGTTTTGGAATGCTCCTAGCTTCCCTAGCAATTGCATTGACATGCAGTGACTATTGGTTTTCATCCTGTTTCAATGTGAGGGGATGGGTGGTTAGTGTCCCCAGTGTATGTTTTTTGTTTGCTTTTTTGGACAAGTGTCCTATTTTTGATCGTTTGTGTCCCGAATTTGTTTGAAGTGGAAGGTCCAAGGAAGAGGAACCATGCGGATAAACGCTTGTTAATGGCCATGGTGCACCAAGTATTCACCAAATTGCATCGAACATATCGTAACTGCAACAAAGGTGGACTCTTGTTGGTGTATGTTGTTAGAGTCTCTTCATGCATAAAGTGTGAGCTGTTGATGTTTCGACCAAACAGTCACTTGAATTTGCGGAGGTTCTATCGCCAACACTCACAAGAGATTGCAGATGCCCCCTTGAAGGCCTGGATTGGTTGGGAAAGATGGAGACTGCAGGTGGAGCTCGATTCCCCTCCCTGGTCATTCGTTTCTGTGAACGCAGAGTATTGAGGGAGTGTGTTGTTGTTGTTGTTGCTGCTGCTGGTGTTGTTGTTGTTGTTGTTGGTGGTTGTTGGTTGTTGGTTGTTGGTTGTTGGTTGTTGGTTGGTGGGTGTTGGGTGTTGGCTGTTGGCTGTTGGCTGTTGGCTGTTGGCTGTGGCTGTGGCTGTGGGTGTTGGTGTTGTTGCTGTGCTGGTGCTGGTGCTGGTGCTGGTGCTGGTGCTGTTGTTGCTGCTGCTGCTGTTGTTGGTGTTGTTGTTGGTAGAGACAAAAGCAGCCGCCCAACATAGTTGTCACATGTTGCAAGTCAGGGATTTCAATGGGATTCTGTTAGGGATAGGGTCGAAGGTTTGGAGAGATGTTAGTAGCTGGACTTCTTGTTGTTGTGGTACTCAAGTCTTGGTTGGTCTGCTTCTTGTTTTTTGTTGTGTTGTTTTGGGGGGGGGGTCAAAAAACAACAACGGGGTTGCAGATTTTGTTTCTA